ATCTGAATGTTTTTGTAAATAAATTGGAGAAATATGGTGTGGCTGAAATTCTAAGATGGTTATAAAACTGACTGAAAAACTGTATTCATACAATAGTAATCCCTGTTTGACAAAGCTAAAGGATCCTCTGAGTGGAGGTTTGAACTACTGCTATGCAATGTTTACAAGTATGATGTGGGTGATGAAAAGCAGAATAAACTGGAAACACTTAGAGGTGACATCAGTTTGGGAACTGTTTAAGTGGAAGACATTTTCCAATGTAATTTTTATTCTTATAATGGGAGAAATCAACAAGGTCTAATTAAGTAAAGGTAGGTGCAAAAGGCTGCACTTAGAGGGACAGATTGAATGCAAATACCAGCTCGGGAGTGCTTGTGTAAGCAGCTGTTCTCAATATGGAGAACCAATATTGCAGCCCTGGAACCAGAGATGGATCAGCAATACGGGGGTGATGAGAAAAGTTCCAAAAGCCATGGATGGCAGCGATGTTTGTGTATAGTTTGGGGAGGATGTAGACATCACCTCTAGAATAATTAAAGAATCCTTAAAAAAAAAAAAGGGCAAGAAAAAGAAGACATTGCAGGAGAGTTTAATCTGGAACAGAAGGGGGTTGACAGTGAACGGTTGTGCTCTTTTTGGCTGGAGTAATTTTCTTCGTAGTAGCTGGTATGGGGCTTTGTGTTGGATTTGTGCTGGAACCAGTGGTAACAGCACAGGGATGTTTTAGTTACTGCTGAGCAGTGCTCACACAGAGTCAAGGCCCTTTCTGCTTCTCACCCCACCCCACCAGTGAGGAGGCTGGAGGTGCTCAAGGAGTTGGGAGGGGACCCAGCTGGGACAGCTGACTCCAACTGACCAAAGGGATATTCCATACCATATGATGTCGTGCCAGGCATATAAATCTGGGGAAAGGAGGAGGAAAGGGGGGGACATTTGGAGTGATGGCGTTTGTCTTCCTGGGTCACTGTTACGCGTGACGGAGCCCTGCTTTCCTGGGGATGGTGGAACACCTGCCTGCTGATGGGAAGGAGTGAATGAATTCCTTGCTTTGCTTTGCTTGCGCACATGGCTTTTGCTTTGCCTATTAACCTGTCTTTATCTCAGTCCGTGAGTTTTCTCACTTTTACCCTTCCGATTCTCTCTCCCATCCCACTGTGGGGGGAGTGAGCGAGCGACTGCGTGGGGCTTAGTTGCCCCACATGGGGTTAAACCATGACAATGGTCTTTACAGCTTTGTAATATGTGTTTATGCGAATGGTGATTAATTGTGCTCTCTGTGTTCATTGAGGCAGAGCTATACAATTTACAGCAACATGAATTTACTTAATAAGAGATTTTTGCAGTTAGATAAACAGTTTGGCCTTATAACAAACAGCAGAGTCACTTTTGCTGGAGGGGTTCAAAACAATGTTGGAAAACCATGAGTTATGTTTGTCTGAGGTAGACCTAATCTGGCTTTGGAGACAGGAGATGGACTAGAGGATACCTTGTGGTTCCTTGTAGTCCTGTACTTAAATGTTTTACATAACAGTACCCTGTGCAGAGAGTTTATATTCTCTCATCACACATGCATAGCAAGTTCTTCAAATGACACAGATATTTTATCCCTTCTTTTCTGGAATGTTTCATTTTCAAGTTCATTCTACTTTTGGAGTTGCCTGCTCTCATTTTACAAAGCTTGCTGCGTGGGCCTGGCTTCCTCACCCTGTTTTCATCTTCCTCAGATCTGGGCACCTGATTAAGCCTGGTAATGGAATACTTCTCTCCTCCATCTGTATGCAGCCCAACACTTGGAAATGGGACTGCAAGAACTTCATGAGCGACACGAAATGTGCTAAAATGCTGTCTTGGTCCTAGCACCTGAGGGCTTGGGTCAGTCTTCTCTATGCTGTGCTGTAGTTTGGCTCCAACAGAAACATGCAAAGCAAA